TATTTGAAGCACACATTACAATGACTTTTACTGTACAAAAAACCTACACAATTGATAACATGATAAGTTTAAGTGGAGATTTCAATTGTCGTAATTATTTCCTCAAATTATACATCAAACAATTAAATGTTTTTTAACTACAATTCATTTACGAAGAATGTGGTTTATATGATGATGTGACTATCCCGCCCCCACCCTATTGGAAATTCCATGTTAATCTTATGGCTATTCTTTAACATGGGTTTCTATGGGTATAGTGTACTGAATTTATTCTAACAATAATGTTGAAAAGTGTAAACATTTTGATGCATTCCCCGAATTGTGGTTAACGCATAGCATCGCATGTAAGCCTTGTTTGATGTATAATTTGAGGAAATAATTACGACAATTGAAATCTCCACTTAAACTTATCATGTTATCAATTGTGTAGGTTTTTTGTACAGTAAAAGTCATTGTAATGTGTGCTTCAAATATCGATAATGTATTGTTTTTATAGCATTTATTTTTCATCACATATTTATTTATAATGTGTTTAATACAAAGCCTTTCACTCATTGAGTAGAGTTAAGTATATTTAACTACAACACACACGCAAACAATGTATTACAATACAGTTAGTTAACAATGAGCTTGATTATATTTTCTATTTACTTTAATTTGTTTTGATAATTTTTATTATCTAACTATTTTACAATTAATCATATGATGATGATTGTTACCGTATTTATTTACAATTCCCGTAAACACTGTTCCCTGTAGTAAGCAATTCTATCATGTTTCAATTTCCCGTAACATAAGTCAACAATGTCACAAACTTTACACCGCATCTATTATTTGCGTATTTGACTAATAAACTACTTGTATTTTAAATAATTATTTATTACAATTAATATGTGATATTTATTAAAATTCTTGATAAGGAGTGTTTTACTTATAAAGAATTAATATAATTAACATGATTAATATTAATCAGATAATAAATAACTAGATAGATCAATAGCCTCGGTATTTGTAATGAATGGGAACAATAAATTAACTAAATTCATGTAAAACATAATATATTTGAATGGGAATTTAGCCAATTTATAAATACACTGTGCATTTTGTGTTCACACCGATAGGTGTATGAGTGTGTTGAATGGATGTAAGATTTTATATTTTTTACCATAGCACTAATACTTCCCCAAACATACCATATAGAAATATATCTATTTTTAAATTATATAACATACATGTATATTAGTTCTCTCTATGGGTCTATAATTGGCACCCAATACTTGCCGTTGTGTTTTGCACAGTGTGTTTGTCTGTGGTAGACATCTTAGCTAAGTGTATCATTTTATAAGACAATAGTTAATTTTCTTACAATTATTACCATATTCTGTGAATTTGTTTGCTTTGTGATTAAGCATTTGATCTATAGTTTAGACGCTATTTTGTCTCTTAAATAATATTTATATTCATTAGAGAATATTCTCATATACTTTGTATTATACTTGTGTTAGTATTAATAATAATAATTATTGGTATAATAAGTAGTGTGAATAAATATTTTATCAAGGGCTTCATCATCAGAGATTGACAGATTATAGGGGCAAATTTTAATATGACATTTATTATAATGATATAATTTAATAATATCAATTTTGTAAAATTTTTCAAATTCCATATGTGGCTTTTTTATAAATAAATGTGAGAATTATTATTTTTTGTTTTTAAATTTCCTTGTTTGATTAACTATAAATCTATTAATTGATTATAGTGTATATATTTAATAGTATTTTAAACATCTCTACAAAGTTTTATATACTACAGAGTTAATTATATTCATCATGTTTATTATTAAACTATTATAGATATTTGAGTCAATTAAAAATAAACGGAAAAATTTATACATTTAGTTCCCATTGATACTAGGATACTTGAAATATATTTATTTTATTTCCTTAATTAAAATAATCAAGGTTAAAAAAGTAAATTAATTTTATTTATGAATAGCAATTTATTGTAAAATTCATACATAACTAAATAGTTTACATAACTAAATTGAATTAATTAATAATTAACTAAACCATTACAATCAACTCCCGATACAGGTCTCAATAAATCGCCGCCAAACAGTGCAAACAGCATCACTACAACCACAGCCACCGCTGCCATCAAAGTCAAACCCACAGCAAACAAACCTCCCGTACCGTACAAACCGCCGGGTCTTAATCAAAAGTCAGCGCCCGGTAAACAAACAACACAACACCAGCCCTCGGCACCCGACTCTCAAGGCTATCAAACAGGTATCACAAAATACACACCCACTTCGGTGTTGGAGGACAAGTATATTCTTGTATTTAACTGCCAATATCTGACCCAATATTACCCACCGGAACGACTCTACTCTACCCTCTATTGTACTGTACTTTTCACTATTTCTCGTATACCCCATATTCTGTCAATACACTGTCAATACTTCGGGCCCTACCAGTGCCCTAAATCTCTGTGCCCTATCTGTCTGACTATCTATCTATCAATCGACACGACTTTCCCCTTCAATATATCACTTCTGAATGTCTGCCAAAAATATAAGTAATAATAATAATAACAACAATAATAACAATCCGGCTAATAATAACGGAGCCAAAGATTCAGTCAATAATGAAAATTACCACGAAGTAAAAGTGGATGCTGGTGTGCAACGGCCACCCGTAATTACGGTGGCCAGTCACGACACAGGCAGTATTAAATCGGAGACCAGCTCCCTGTGCCGGCCCCTCAAGTTTGGCGGCCACACCGATGGGGGTGGCGATGATATACCAGTCGATGGCAATGGCAATCAGCTGTAAGTATAATGTGTTTAAAAAATTAATTATAATATTGTTTTAATTTTAGTTAAAATTATTGCTTTATTGCAACAGTTGTATACGCTCCAGTTATTTAATTGTAGTTGATCAATTATTTATTCCACGTTTTATTTAGTGTAAAAATTGCAGTTTGGAAAAAATTATACGTGATAAAAATGAACTAAATACAAGTTGTAAAATAAACTCGATTAAATTAGCATCGAGTTCGTTAATAACTGTAGTAATTAATTATAACTAACTTTAATTTGATGATTAGTTTTTGTAACTTGGGAATTAATTGGACATTTTTTAAAAATTGTTTTTTATACCATAGTATTGACAGCCCATTCATTGCCAACCCTAACGATAACGTGTATAAACCGTGCGAACAAAACTCGGGCACAATCGGGAGCCGCGCCACACGATTCCCAACACTCGGCCAGTGCTCGCGCGGCAACAACAATGACTCTCAGGACAGCGAACGCACCGTTTGCTGCCATAACCTGGCCATCGATCTGTACAACAAGGCCCTGGAGTCGGCCAAGAGGGCGCTGCCCACTAAGTAATTACATTAATCATATCGATAATTGCAAATATACACCACACCTTAATTTTGAATTATTTAAAAACACTATAATTATCAAAACCATTAGATCATCGAAACAGAGTCGACAACAGTTCCCGCGAAGTTTTGGCGAAGACTTCGAGAGCATTGGTCCCGAAGGGTTCAACTATCTGGACGACGGCCAGACCGAGTGCTCGTACGACTACCGGGACATCGACTACAACAGGGACTCTATAATCAGGCCCGACGTGTTCGCTCACATGGATGTGGGCGTACCGGTGCTCGTTGGGGACGTCGACACCGGTGACGAGTCGCCCCGAACGGCCGATGATTTGCGGCGCCGGTACGGACTGCCCGACAAACCAGACAGAGTGCAGCCTTATGTGCCGTCCGGCGCGCCGTCTAAAACATGCCCCATCTCTACGGCCATACCATTATCAGAGTTTGCAGTTACTAAGCCTATTGTCCAGAACAAGGTATTGGTTGTCGATGGGCACCAAGACACTGATGGCGGTGTTATAGTAAAAGCTAGTGATAGTACTGGAGCCACTGTGTTATCAGATATAGCGCCTGAGCCCAACCCAATTACCGCTACAACTGTCTCACATACACAGACAGTGCCGGAGCGTAAGGCGTCCACCTCTAGGCCAATGGTGTTGGCGCTGAGCGCTGGACATCAAACCCAAATAGCGTTCAAACCGGCGGATAATCGGCAAACTCTGAGCGCCGGGAGCCCAGTGTCGGCAACAGGCGAGCTAATGGACTCTATGGCCAAACGCACTTCACAGCTGATCATCGACACAGCTATACACGAGTCAATAGCCCGACGTCTGACGCCCTCCCCCTCGGGCGCCGAGAATCAAGACAACCGGTCGAACGAATCGAAAGCTGATCCTAAATCCAAGAAATCGTCGGCCGATTCGGCGACTGTCGCGGCCGACAAAGAGGTGGCCAAACGTGAGCGCAAACTACTGGAGAAACGGCTGAAAGAGGAGGAGAAACAGCGCCGAAAGGCCGAGAAACTGATCCGCGATGAGGACAGGGCGGAGAAGAAGTCACTGTTTGCCAGATTTCGCACTGAAGACCGGCAGAAGAAGAAGATCCAGAAGAAACAGAAACAGTTTGAGAAAATTCGCCAGAAATCGATGGTTAATAAGTCAAAAAATAGCCTCAAATCGGATGATAACGTGGATATAGAGGCCGACGATGAGTACGAACCATCGCCTGTTCCGCCCCCGACGCTCACCACCGGTCCTACTGTTGACCGGTTTGGTCGACACACCTATGAAGATATTGATGCCGAACCGGTGGTCACATCTGGTGGCGCTGTTTTGACAGCCAATACCGATGTGGAAGTTGTCGCGGTTGATGTCCAACTGGTGCTCGAAGACGTGCCCGTGAAGTACGAGTACATTGAAAACGTACGCGAAATCGGCGTAACGTATATGCCGTCCAACGATAACAGCGGTGCTGAAGACACGGACACCGAAACTGTTCAACCGGTGGCCAAAAAGGGGTCTAAACGAGGCTCGAAGAGTCCCAAACCCGCTGCCGGTGCCGTCAAGTCATCGTCGTTTCGGGCCTTAAAGTCCAAAGTGAAGGACATATTTCCGGCCCACAAGTGGACACCGAAACTGGTGCGGAAGAGCGGCAAACATACCGGCGCTGACATCACTGGACACAAGAAACAGCAATCAGTGGTGCCGTCAATCATAGTGGTCGAAGATCCGGCACTATTACAGCACCCGGAGTTTGTCTGTGTGCCCTCCCCTACGCCCACGCCTACCGACTTTCAGCGCGAGTACGAGAATATAACCGGCGACACTTTTAACAGTGACCAGACTGTGCCCATTGGTGCCGACTCGGAGCCCACGTACGACATGTCGACCGCTAGCGGCACATCCGGCGCCACAACTGTTGTGGGAACCGCTGCTAATAGTAATACGGGTGCCTCCGGTGCCACCGTCTCCGGTATGGCCTCCCAGTACGAGACCGAAGAGGACGACGAAGAGCAGCAGTTCCTGGAGAGGGTGTCGCGAGTGGAGGGCGCCGGCGGTCGGGCGCACAAAAAGCATCGGCAAAAGTCGAAAGCGCGCGCAAAGTTGGATCGTTTGAAAGCCAAAGCCATGGAGTCGTTGCCCAAAATCACGTCAATCGTGCCGCTGATGAAGGACTTTGTCAGCGCCCGGCGCACGCAATCGTCGACCGCCGCCGACCGGCGACAGCACCGGGACCTCGAGTACGAACGTTACCGACAGATACCCACCCGCTATGACTCGGACTTTGATTGCGTGTCCGACTCGGAGCTGTGCGACTCGTTGAACCGCCGCACCGGCCGTATGGATGGGCCGGAGGGCAGGGCTGAGGCTCGGCATCACGTCTACGAAGAGATGGCCGCCACTCAGGAGCGGCTGGACTCGTACATGAGCCCCGTGTCGGGTCCGTTGCGACCGCCGCGTCGGTTCTCCGGCATGAAGTACGCGCCCAAAGTGGCGTCGACGCCAACCCTGAGCACCCAAGTGCTGGTCCGGGTGCCCAAACGCAGCATGGTGCCCCCGCCGCGACCACCGCCGCCCACACCCAGACCCTCCATAGTGGTGGACAACATCGATGACGATCAGCGTCCGGCGCTGGTCCGCAAACAACGAGTGCCCGCAGATATATACTATACAAATGTGCGGCTAAACTATAAGCCTAAGCGCAGGTTTATCAGTGGTCGCGCCCGTGCGGCTACACTCGCCCACCGCACCCATACCGTACCCACTGGTATGGCGTATGACTCGCCCAAACCGCTGCTACCGGTGCCACTGAAGGCCTGTCAGACACGGGTACAGGCGCTGAACGCGTATAACACGGCACTGGCGTACGGCTTGAAGGCGCAGACATTGCCGCCCCAGTCGGCTCCGGCCGGTCCACCGCCACTGCTGGCCGGCGCCACCGGTGCCACACGAAACTGGACACCGACTCCGCCTCCTCGGCGCGGCCGTAGCCGTAGAGATCCGCGCAGTCAGACTCAGGCCGTGGACCAGTCGGCGCTGGATTGGCAGCCGTTTACATGGAAGTGGCGTCGGTGCCGATCCCTAACGGAGCTGGACGTCCGCAATAGCCGCCAATCGTCACCCGTGGCCACCAATCGACGCCCTAATAGTCCAAATAAAGGCACCGGCAGTTCGCACCCACCACTACCGCCATCAGTACCGCCACAACCGGCAAAGATCATACAGACACACAGCAAACGACCCACACGTCCCCCTCCGCCCACTATCTCTCACTCTATGTCCGCTTCCGCCCTGTCGTCCGGCACCTGCCGTCACGACCGTAACGCCCGACCCCTTAACGATTGCTTAGTTTCAGACTCTTATCACATATACTCCTCTGTTTGCAAAGGTGTCGACACTAGCCATACGGCCGGCGCTCAACCAACACAGCATGACTGGTCCCGACGCCCGCTGCCGGCGCCGCCCCGACCGCCCAAACCCAAGGCTCGCCGATCGCTGAGCACAACCACACGAGACGCCAGTGTCAGCACTCAGGACATCGGTCTGAACGCCTGGTGCGATCGCGAGACACAGCTGGACGCCCGCAACAACTCGCTCTGGGAGGACAGCGTCAACGGCATGGATATGTTGGGCGATCCCAACGACCCCTACCGCACGCCCACTAACCCACTGACGCCCACAACACCCACTAATCCGCCGCACATGGCTTTCGGCACGGCCTACGACGACGGCGGCGACCTGACTGCGGCGCACACTTACACATCTAGTACTACCAATTGGTACGACGCTGAGCCACCGGCACCGGGCAATGTGCCGCCCCGATCGCCGCCCGCCCACCGCCGCGACCGCGACTGGGATCAGGACACCATCAACGACGACGTCAGCTCAATCGCCTCCAACTACCAGTCCTTTGCCTCAGAGTACACCACTCGGGCTGACGACGACGACGGCGACGACAATGTCGACGAAGTGATGGACAGGTATGGCGACGAACAGTACGGCGATCGCGAGGAAACACCGGTTGCCGAAGTGACGGACGTGGATGATGTGGGCGGCCATGTGGTGGCGCCCCCACCCCAGCCACTCTCTTCCGACTACACCCCTACCGTTAAGACTGCGTGCAAAACAGGTATTTATTTCGATGGCCAGTCGTGTGTGGTATGTGTTAATATATTAACATCCGTTGACTACCCGTACGTTTTAGCGGTCAGGTCCCAGTCGACGAGGGCTGCACCCGATGCCGGTTCCCATTCGCCCGGTCGCCGCTCATTACCAACCAGTAT